CTTAGAAAACCTTCGCTAAAAAGGAGCATATTCAACCATTCGATGAACCTCGCCGTGTCTAGTCATATTATGGTGTGGTCTATAGAATAGATGCAAAAAATTAGAAAAGAAGTAGCGCATGCGCGAAAAAATTAATATTTTGTGTGTGCAGCGCATGCGCTGCACACGGTCCCACACGGTGCTCAAGGTGTGATGCGCATGCGCTGCACAATGTCGTCAACGTGTTAAACCGTTGAGCATCTCTAATATGTCCCTTTGGAAGCGGAGTTTACAATGAAAAGTGGCTAGTTAGAAATCAGATAAAGGTGGTTAGTGATGGATTAAAAGAAAAACCATGGAAAACGGTTCAGAAAAAAAGGAGACCCCTTTTCTGCCCGTTGGTTCTTGCATAGATGCGACTCTCATCAAAGTCGACCTATGCACCAGCGAGTCGAACTATGTACCAGCGACTCAACACTGTTTGAAAGTGGCGGGACCCAACGTTTAAAGGAAGGCCCGCCACTTTCAAACAGTGTGGTCCTTTAAAGTGGACTTCCTTTCAAACGTTGGGTCCCGCCACTTTCAAACAGTGTCGAGTCGCTGGTACATCGTTCGACTCGCTGGTGCATCGTTCGATTCGCTGGCGCAAAGTTCGATTCGCTGCGCAACGCTCGGATCCAGCGATTCGCTAGCGAATCGCTCGATTCGCAAACTATGACATCGGCCATATACTCCGCTAAAGCGCGCATCGCACGCCACTAAGGGACTCACCTGCGTTTCGGCTAGGTAAATCTTGCCACCTATAGTTCCCCTTTTTCGACCTCCGACCTTACCGTAATATACCCCCTTAAGTGACATTGGCTTCTCTCTCCTGAATAACTCGCAGCATCTGTCCTCTACTTTTCCCTACCGACGATTCCGTACGTCGCAGGATCCGCTGCTCTTGTTAGACATCGTCAGCTCGCAGTACATTTAACACGTTGACGACCGCCGTTGTGCGCGTACTGCTTCAACATTTTTCGTATTCTCTCATCAATAGGCATCAATCCTTCAGCGTTTTCATTATCAGTAATGAAGAAATAGTTTTTCGGATTCAATAATGTACATGGACCGTTGTGGAACAGGAGAAAACACCAAATAAATTAAGGAAAACTAGTCTGCCCATGCGAAAGTGTGGTATGACATCATACCACACGGTCGTCAACGTGTTAATGTTACCATAAGTTTAGCTCTGAAACCACTCTTTTCAGTTCGTTGAGGGAGCTAACCGTTGACCCTACATAAGATAATACTGTCTTCTTATATCTGTATATGGGATATGTAAGTGCAGAACCTCTTTGCTACAGATTTTCACATGGGAGGAAGAAGCGTTTGACGGTTCAAAGAGCAGCTCCAAACCCTGAACCACGTTTATAGCTTGAAGGAGGGGACGATCAGGCCAATACTTTTAGTTCATCATGACTCTACATATGTACCTCTTACAAAGCTCGCTGCCCAAAGAAACGAATTTAACACCGATTGCGGGGCATGAAGGGAGAAGTAGGGGAGTGATTTTCTCCACATTTTTCCTGAATTATGCGTCGGAGCGAATTTATAAATGAAAGCGTCTCCACACACGACTTGATTCTCCGCATTAGATGACGCAGAGCAATTATATCGTTGTTAAGAAATACGGAAAACCAGGACAATTCAAGGTTGTGGATATTTCCCTAAACAAAGGTAAAGTCAGCTTGAATTTTTCAGAACGAGTCAAAGCGAGGCAAGGAGTTGGGAGCCGTGGAAAAATACAGGCTCCGACGGAAATACCCACCACCGCGAAGCATTTATTGGACGGACAAGAACTATACATACTCATGCAAAGAAAACAGTAGAAGGTTCGACATCACCATAGCCAGACCGTCCTCTGATTTGACTCTCACGCTTGTTAAGTTGTGAACGAGATTTTATAAGAAAAATCAGTACCCCACACTTGACCAGAAGAAGGAAATCTCTCGAGCCACTGATCTGGAGATTGTACAGGTATGCTTTCCTTTTTCGAGCTCATTCTAAATAAAAAAAGAAAATCATTGATATCCAGATCTCAAACTGGTTCAAAAATCGCCGCCAGCGTGACAAAACGAGGATGGAATGTGCACACAATACGGTCGACCGCAAATGGTTCAATTGCAGACACTCGCTTACAGTAATCTCCCTTTGAATATGAACATCAGCATGCCATACTCATGCAAAATGGAATGAATTGAATAAATATATAGTTTATGAAAAGACCTCTGAAGTCACCTACAACGGCCATACGCCATTTTTTCATCAGCCCCTTGGAAGTTTACCTTTACGGCTTTGAACGACGTCAAGAGATCAGGGAGGCGACGTACATAAACGCTGTCCACCAGAGGGATCAAAGAGTGGATGCCCTGAAAAATGACCAGTGCCAACGGTAGGTCACGCCGAACAAGGATGAGAAATTGATTGCTGCTCACAATGTGTACTGTATCGACACCTTACACTGCTACTTACTGTAAGCCTTCATAAAGTATAGAAACATTTGGCACTCAATTCGGACCATTTTGTTTCCGGGATACCCCAAATCGAATTTTATGTGATGGCAATTCAGTTCTATCTGGTCTACGCAAATTGCTGGAGCCACCCGTCTTACAAGCCTTCTGGACAACCCCGGCCGTAATTGAAAGGCTTCGGAAGAATGGAGGCTCGGGTGGGTCAAGCAGTTTCTATATAGTGGTCGCGTAGCTATAATTTGACCAAATTGCAGGATAGCCTCCAATTAGTCCTTCATTTGTTGATACACGAACAGCGTTTATGGTGATGCCATCAAAAAATTCTTCTGCAATGTAGGTTGTGACCGTTCAACGTTTCCTCTGCAAGGGTAGATCCAAGCCTCTTTTAACTCTATGTGCAGTAAATTTCATCCAAAACGACCACATAGTGAGCAATTCGGAGCATCCTCAGGCGATCTAGCATTGACCTCAACGCGGCCCTATCAGCGTGGTATGTCTATTGACTAGTACGAATTTATTTGACGTAACAGCACGCGAGGTTTATAATGATTCCGCCGGCTAACGTTTCGTGCGTTCTCCGCCTTTTACGGAGTCCTAAAAAAGGTGGAAACAGTTTTTACGCATTTACTCGACCAATGTCTCCCCTACCTACGAGACTTCGAAGAATATCAGCTAGACCATTGACATAATTAACACGTTGACGACAAGCCGACGCGCATGCGCGTCAAGAATTTCGCACCGCATCGGACATTCTGACGCGATAAAAGTGAGTAGCATAGGACTTGACGCGCAAGCGCGTCAAGTCTATGCTACTCACTTTTATCGTGCTTGCGCTCCTTCCTCTCGGGTTTCTTGTATTCATTCTATAGATAATACATTAGCATGACTATAAACCGCTTGGCAGCTAGAGTGGTCAAGTATCTTTTGATTAAGCAAAGATTTTCCGAACGCACAAAACTTTCGTTCCGATTCTTTCTTAATAATACTTTCACTGCCGTCAATATTCTTATGAAAGATTTTAGAGTTAGTTGAAACAAAACTCTGTGAGTTTCAATATATTTGATTTGATGGGAGTACTTAGATATAAATGCTTTTAATTTCATTCGCAGCGAAAGTGATGTTTTTTTACTTCTTCGTGGTTATTATGCGCTCTTCTAAACGAAAACCTTTTGCTACTTATATACTTAACCTTTGTGCGATCGTCCTTGCCGAAATAGTCCTATGAAATTCAAGTTATTGTGCATTTTTAACAAAAAATAAGCGTAAGTAAGGTGAGGACGGCGCGGTCGCAAAATCGCTCCTGTCCCACGAGGTGCAAAATGCCAAAACATGCGATGTCGTGACGTGTTAATACGGCGAATTCAAGCTGGCCGTCTCCTGCCGATCAGCGGATCAGCCAGTATAGAACGACCGGTATACGAGGATGTCGGGCCTGATTATCATCATACGCATGAGCTAGGGAGACATTTAATCGGATAAATCGTAAATTGGTTTCCACCTTTTTAGTCTTCGAAGTAGGCGAAAACGCCATTACCATTACCATTCACCACTCCACCATTTGTCGCAGGTATCTAGACCATTTAGCGAGAGAGAGCGAGAAAGAGAGAGAGAGCGCCAGCGTTGAGGAGGGAGCATCAATGAGGGTCGCATCAGTGTGGAAGTCA